TGTATCTAGCTAGCTATACATAAATATATAAACAGCTATTGAGCTAGCTATTCAACTAAATACCTCAGCAGCTAGCTAGGCGGATCCCTCAACAGCTCTACAGCTAGCTAGCTAGCTAAATACCCAGCCGTCTAGCTAGCTATATAGCTAGCTAGCTAGCTGTATAACTAGCTAGCTAGCTGTATACCTAGCTAGCTATATACCTAGCTAGCTAGCTAGCTAGCTAGCTAGCTAGCTAGCTATATACATAGCTAGCTATACACATAGCTAGCTATATACCTAGCTAGCTAGCTATATACATAGCTAGCTACATACATAGCTAGCTATGTAGCTAGCTAGCTGGCTAGCTAGCTAGCTAGCTGTAGTTGAACAGCTAAACTGAGAAGATGCTGTTGACCCTCAGCAGCCACACGGCAACGCTCACAGCCCAAGCAACAGCAACAGCAACGGCAGCAGCAGCAGCTGTTGCTGCTAGTGCTGCTGCTGCTACTGCTGTTACTGCTGCTGCTGCTACTGCTGCTGCTGCTGCTGCTGCTGCTGCAGCATCTCCTTCTCTGATTCAAAAAACGGAAGTTGGAGGTCTCCCCACCAAACTAGCTGTAGCTAGCTAGCTGCAGCTAGCTAGCTGCAGCTAGCCAGCAGCAGCTAGCTAGCGACAGGCTCCAGCTAGCTAAATGATGGAGCTAGCTGCATGCTGCAGCTAGCTAGATGCTGCAGCTAGCCGCGAGCTGTAGCTAGCCAATGGTTCCAGCTGGCTGCACCTTCAAGCTAGCTAGCTAGCTAGCTAGCTGTATCACCTAGCTAGCTAGCTAGCTAGCCAGCTAGCTAGCTATACCACCTAGCTATATAGCTAGCTAGCTAGCTAGTCAGCTAGCTAGCTATATCACCTAGCTAGCTAGCTAGCTAGCTAGCTAGCTAGGTGAGCGTAGCGGCTAGTTTGTTAGTGTAGAAGCCGTTGCCGTCTAGGGCCTCAAGAAGCAGCGCCAGGCGCTGAGCTAGCTGGGGGCAGACAGCAGCAGCGTGATGCATCTGCTGCTGCTGCTGCTGCTGCTGCTGCTGCTGCTGCTGGTGCTGATGGTTGCTGCAGCTGCTGCTGTAACACTCGGCAGCTACTCGTGCTGCTGCTGCTGCTGCTCTGCGGTGTA